TCCCAGTAGAGTCCCTTTAATGAATGCAAAGCTCTGCCAAAACAGAGAGGCAAGCAAAAATGGGATCACGACCGTGGATCCCAAAAACACCGGCATCATAAATGCCTGCATGACCAGTAGTATACTGAATACTCATTGAAGGGCTAAGGTTGAGAATAGAAAGTTGCATGACTCTAGGTACCCTAAACCGTGAAACCTACGGTACTGACATGGTATCCTACATCCGATGTAGCAGGGCACGCATGATCAGCTAAGCAAGATCGGAGATGAAGGAATGTGGGGATCAACGTCCGTACCCTGCAAAACCTTAAACCTTGAACCCCAAACCCTATACTTTCGCAACCCGTAAGCCTCAACGCTCGTCCCACACACCCATAAAACCTAACAATGTGACACGCCTAAACGCTAAACCAAAACCCCTAGCCCAGAACCTTGGCCATCTCGCCGATGTACTCAAACATGAAGCTCAAGCTTTTCAAAACTCCATTCCTGAGCATGGTCGCATGTTGGTTCCGTGAAACAGGGTCATATGGATCTACAGGGCGTGCAGTAGGGCGTGTGCGTATATAAAGGAATGCATAGGGATATGAAGGGATACACAAAGTGTAGGGCTCAGGTTTCAGTGTTCAGTCTTTAGGGTCTTTCTAAATGAAGGTGCCCTAAGGGACCCCAGGGATATGTGGGGATTATATGAGCTGTAGTCTAAACTCCTAGTATCCCCCTTACTGTAATAACCCCTATAGTAGTCCCCTATAGAATCCCCTATATATCCCCCTTTCAGGAGTTTAGACTATAGCTTGTATGGAAGTTTTGGGGGCCCCTCTGTACTTGGAGGGTCAGGGGGACTTAGTAAGTAGGTTAATAACCCCTATAACCTATAGAGTAACCCTAGTTACCCTAATTATTAACCATTACTAAGTCCCTGACCCTCCAAGTAAACACTAAACCCTCGGGATTACGAGGGTCTCGGCTGGGCCTTTCAATGGGCTCACTGGCTCGCAAAACACGGGCCCATCAGGGACAGCCCCCCAACTCTTGACCCTACCCATACAAAACCTAAAGCTTGGGTACTGCCCACACCCAGTAACAGTCTATATTAGGGGTCCTATTAAGGGCTATATATAACCATAGTATACCTATTATCCAACTGTTACTGAGGGTACCCAACCTAAAGCCCTAAAACGAAAACCCTCAAACATTGAAACCCTAGTCAGTAAGACCCTACATTCTAATCATTGCCCAGTGTCTGCACATTCAGCTCTGGCACTCTGTACTCGTTCATGAGAGCTGGCCTGGAAGGCTGAGGCGGCTCTGGTTTAGGGTTTTAGGATTTAGTGTTGCGGTTTAGGGTTTGGGATTTGAGGCTTAGGGCTTTGGATTTAGGATTTGGGATTGAGGGTCGCGGGTTTAGAATTTTGTTCATGCTACACTATGGCCATGTGGGAGACATGATTGTAAACATACCACAAGAGTTCTTAATCTCAGGGCACCCCATGCAAGCTTGAGCCCTGGTACAAGCTAACAAGTAGCTGTGACTGGTAACATTGGCCGATATCTTCTTGGCAGTTCTTCTTGCTAAAAACTGCTCCCAAGTATCCAACTACCTGCACAGTCAAAAGCCAAGACGGCTAAAATGACGACCGTTCTTGGTGGTACGACTCATGCTTGAACAGCTGTCACTCCGATGAAATACGGAGCCCAGTTCTGCTTTTCAAATTAGCACCTGACTCGGTGTTTTCTTCAAACCCGAATATGCTCACATAGACATGGCTTTGTCCGCCATTGCTTCGGCAACAGGTGGAGCATAAACATGTATACATGTGTATATATATATATGAATATACCTGCGGTAGACCCCAAAATACTATAGTCCTTATTCTGGGGATCCCCAAAATGGCACCATTATTTTTAGGAAACCCCCACATATGTTTACATCATATAAACCCCCACAGAGAAGCCAAGGCTTACGGCCACCATTCAAATAGCAGTGAAATACAACGCGCTACATAAGGTCCAAGTTGTTAGACCCTGATCGCTGCTGGCAGGCACAGGTGTAAAGCCTCTGTCTCAGGTCGTGTTGTGGCACTCTGCCAGCATCATTGTTAAACCATTTACCCAATCTCCTCAATTTGAAGGCTGCCTGCCCTTACGCATGCCCCGCATGGTTCCACACTACCTGCCTGTGTGTGGAGAAGCCTTTTCCCGCCCCGGCCGTCATGGTCCCCTGTGGATGCACGCCTAGAAAGCATTGCTCGACAGTGTGATGCCGGAATTGCCAACCGATCCCTGTCAGGGCTTTTTGAAGGGGGTGTCAACAACTGAGATGTTTTTGGACATGTTGTTTTGAAGCTTCCCCCGCTACGGATGGTGTTGGGCAACTTTTTTCCGGCCAGCTTCATTTGGTCACCGTACATCTTAATTATAAACTATGACCACTTAGAACCTGTATGTCTGCACTTCGAAAACTCTCAGAACATCCCTTTGAAGCAACATCATGCAACAACGCTACCTCATCTGCGCGAAACCCTTCCAACCTAAACCCTCGCACCGAGACAGCTGCAGGACAGTGAATGGGCCACATGTTTCGGCGACGATGGCAATGGCAACCTCAGCATTGTCTGTTCTTTGCATTTCATGTTGACAAGCCTATAGGCATCGAGCTTAAAACTCCTGTACCGAGCTCTGTGGGTGAGGGCAGCTGTACAAGACATATAAGGTGGGACATATGTGATGGCTTCCCGAAATTGGATGTCAATTTCATCTCATAAGGCGACTCACCAAGCTAGGTCTGGACTTCCTATCAACTGGTTCCCTGCTGTATATGATCCCAGTAAACATCACTTGGGGTATGGTGAGGCCCTTTTAACCACAAAAATGATGTTTGAAACCATCAAGAGGGGACATATAGAGAAGCCTGTCTCTCGTACAAATTTCGATGGTTTTTAGGGTTTAAAGCGGAGGGTTGATGGTGCTGGGGCCTAGAAGTTAGCTTATCGGAAGAATCCTGTGTAAAGATGGTCCACACACAAGACAAAGCACTGCAGAGCATACACCCTAAACCTCAAAGTCCTTCACCCCTAAACCCTCAACACAAGAAACCTCAAACCTATCTAACCATTTGAAGCCCTAAGCACGAAACTGACACTAACCCCTGGGACCCCAGCGGTGGTACAAATACGAAGCTGACGCTCCTGGACCTTGAGGTTGTTCAGAAGAGTACTGAGGACCTCAAGCAGCAGGTCTGAGGTTGGTTGTATGAAGGGATAATGGAAAAGAAAATTGAAGTTACTATTTAGGGCTTATGGAGAGAGATATATGGAGGTATATAGTGATAATGGAAAAGAAAATGGAAGCTGCTATTTGGAGCTTAGGGTTTAGGGCAGAAGGTCCATATAAGGTTGGAACTATTGGGCCTTAGTATGGGCCATCAATCCTGGGGTCCTTATGTACACATGACATACCCCATGAAGCCCTACAAACTCAAGCAGAGGGCCAGACTTAGGACCTAGGAAACAGACAGAAGCCGCACTAGGGGCCCATGGCAAGGACTTTAGGGAAGGTGTCTCGTTTGGAGTTTGGGGCTTCTGGTTCCTTGTTGTGATCATATTGAAAACTGTAGCTTTGTTTTCTCTATTGCACAATACGAATAAAGCAATGGCTTTGGTTTGGGGTTGAGGGTTTGGGGCCGATAAGCTTTGTAGTAGGGATCCCAACAATGTACCAGAGTAAAGGGTTGGATCTAGTTGCTCCCCTCAAATCAGAGATCTTCAGGGCGACCTAACAGCGAGTGAAGGGGAAGTTTTCTTGGCCCAGTTGCTGTGTTCCCTCAACCAAAAAAACTACACTGGTTTTAATGTATTAGAAGTATAAAGTCAAAGAAGGTGTGAAGCAACTCTTTGACGATGGTGCACCCAAGCGTCATGGCGTGGGTGTACCATGGTGCGCCTACGAAGATACCAATACTACTTGCAGGCCCCCCGGATAGGAGAGCTTTCTGGAAAGATGCTTGGCAGTCATACAAATGTCAAGGTTGTGATGCCAAGCTACGTACATAATGAGCTGTTCATCGTGGGCTGCTGCAGCTGTGCATTTTCAACAAGAAACGCCCTTCCCTTCAACATCTTGCGGTTCCATACTTCGTGCCCTACTACAGTCCATGTCATCACTTGCTGGGGGGCGGCGCCACAGAATCACTTAGGTTTTTACTGCATCCATGAGGGATCCCCAATTTGCAAAATACTAATATCTGAGCTGGCATGTACGGACTTCTTGGCCTGGGAAAGGTACAAGGCTTGTGAGTGGGATGCTGGCCATCGCTCTTGGGTTGAAGGTCACCCTAAACCCAAAGCCCTAAACCCGAAACCCTACACCCGAAGCCCTAAACCCGAAACCTAGACCCCCCTAAACCCTAAACTGTGTGCAGCTGCTCACCGCCAGGAGCGCTTTGCTTTCCAGCAACCTCAGACCTCTTCCCCCACCAGACCGAACGGCCCCCAAACCCTTCCGCAGGCCATGCCCCCGCATAACTAGGACACCTGAAATCCCCAAACTTCTGCAGCCAAAATCCTGATTTCATAAATCCTGCAACCCCAAATCCCCACAAGATGCGAGACTCCTAGAAGCCCCCTGTACTTCCCAGGTGCACTTAGGGTTTGCAAAGGTAGGCCCGTTTTGATCCCAAACCTTGAGTACTCAACCCTCACTCCTAAACCCTAAATCCTCCCTTGGGTCGAGGCATCGTGAGGGCCAATAGCCTTTGCGATGTAGCCGAAGGTGTTGACCTGAGCAGTAACTTGGAAACTGGGGTTTCAACAGCTGAGCATTGTTTTGTTTAAGGGTAAAGTCTTTGTACTAAGAGAGTCTGCCTACGCGAACTACGCGGATTGCTGTTTTCCCTGCAGAACAGACTACGCGAACACACTCTTGCTATCATGCGGCCTACGCGGACTACGCGGCATTCCTGGGCTATTCACAATTCTATGCAGCACGAACCTCTTCTTGCTCTTGAATAACCATGATTATATTTTTTGGGTATTTTTGCAGGCCTCTTATTTCTAGAACGTGGAGGGTTTTGTGTTTAAAGCTCAGGCCTTACGATTTAGGGATCAGAGCTTTGGGGCAAGGGTTTCGGGCTTTGGCTCAAGGACATCTGAGCTGTAGTCCAAACTCCTAGTATCCCCCTTAATAGCCCCTATAGTCGTCCCCTGTATAAGCCCCTATATGACCCCCTTTACGGAATTTTGGCTATAGCTCATACAGGGTTTAGAATGTGTGTTTAAGGTTAAGACCCTGGGACCTGAGTTTGCTTCGCTTCCTCTGTCATAGAAAACTACAAACCCAAACCCCAAACCTCGAATGGTTAGGGTTTAGGGTTTAGGCTCATTGGGTTATAGTTATGGTGGTGTTTGCAAAAAATGGGGGGGGGGGTCCCCTTTTAGTGCTTAAGCAGGACGGCTTGTTAGCTTCACCATGCTTTTTTCTAGCTCGGAAGCTTGAGCTGTTGATTAGAAGCAAATGGAACATGCTTTGAAGAACCGGCTCTATGTAACATGTGTGCATAATGTAGCGCCTTCATTATGTTCTCAATTGGGCTCTGGGGCACACTGTGCTGTAATTCTAGCAGGATTGCTAGTCGCTGCTAGTCAATAGCATTTGCGTTTTTTGATGCTTCCACACATAATCACGATTTATATACTCAGTCTTACAATAGTAGGAGTGCTGCACCTGAAGCCCATACGCCTGTATCGTAAAGAGCCTGAAGCAGAATATAGAGAGGGGAATATCAGAAAACACCAGGTCAGCACAATACTCGAGGGGTTTCCCAAAAAAGTTTGGGGTTGAGGGTTTCCCACAATTAGGGGGATCATTTGGGGGTTCCCTGAAATAAGGATTATAGTAGTTTGGTGTCTGTATCGGGGTCCCCAACTTTTGGGAAACTACCACTTAGTACGATTTAGGGTTTGGCGTTTTTGGAAACAAGTGCCCCAACCTACTCTAACACCCAGGCAAAGCAGAAAAAAGAATGGGGGAGAAAACTAAACCCTAGCCGTGAGCCCTAAATCATCAAGCTCCGGCACTAAACCTTGAAACCCAAGTCCTAAACGCGGTTTAGGGTTGAGGGCTCAGGGCCTCTGAATCCCAAAACTGTACTAGGCCCTCGGGTATTGAGACTTTGTATGAGCATCGCGCCGTAGCTCGACGAATAGCCTTCTTGTGAGCCTGCCACAATCAAAAGAAGGGCCCTTACATGCCCCTGCGTACCATGGTTCTTGTCATAAGAACTGCGAAACAGGCACCCCTACTTCGTGGAAACTCCCATGTGGTGTTTGAAGTTTAGAGTAAAATGAGGCTTGGAGCTTGGGCCCCAGAATCTTTGCAGGCTTCCATTGCAATCAAGGAGATGGTGCTTGGGGCTAAGGCAGGTAGGTTCCTACTTGGGATGACTTGCTGCAGGGACAGGATAACTGGCCTGAATAAACCCTTAGCGTTCAGGGTGTAGGTTTAGGCCTAAACACGGCTAAATCCTTAGGAGAGCAGCATATCAGGAAAAACCGTTATTGCCGTGGCAGATGGCAGGATGACGAAAGCTGGGATGAAATTCGCTAGCCTGGAGAATGTGTCTGAAACCTGAGGGAGGTGGAACACGTGCACAAGGGAGGATCTACATGTGCGGCACTGCAAAAGATACCTCACACCCCACATGTATGGATGCATGTACGTATGTATGTACGTACGTATCTAGGGATTTATGTGAACATGTAACATGCCTGTCCGCAGAGGCTCTCTCTAAGAAGATGTACATCTGCTCGCTGGCGACGCTGCATGCAATCACCAGGATATCAAGTCAATTGTGGATGGTCAAGTCAGTTCAAATGCCAGCAAGACCAGAGCTGCACTGAAAAGAGCAGCTTCAACAACTTGCAGGCGCCCCAACTTCTGAACCCCCTAAGTTTGAGCGATACCTTGAACGCTCAGCCTTAAACTTACAAACCCTCAACCCTCAAAAAACGTAACCCTGTCACTTCCCCAGGAAACGCCTTCAGCAACTCCAGAAGGTCGAAGCAAATACGGTTCCACTCTCTGGGTGGCGCCAACTCAGCACCCCGATCCGCAATTCTGACAGGAGAGCTGCGGTTTACTTATATAGGGATATATAGGGATAGTACCCAATAATGGAGAATCAA